GTAGAAATTTCTATCTGCTGTTCCTGGTGGCATTGCTTATCAAAATTTCCATTTCAGGAGCTTGAATTCGCCAAGGAGATGGCTGATGAAGACGACGAGGATTTTTAAAAGCTAGATACTGATGTGTAAAACAATTCATACTGTGTGTTTCTTGTGTACAATGCTGTTGTAGAATGATTTTCACGTCGCATCTCTTAATATAAATTATTTTTTACATTTGAATTGTTTTGACTGTTCTCGGGCAAATGCACCGTCGAATGATTACCGTAAAATGAATCCTTCTGGGTAATAACAAGAAATTTATTTACTGGCATCAGTAAGGTCCATGCTACGGGTTTGGCAACGCGTGCAGCATGCACTCGATGCGGCTATGGGCCTTGGACCCAGAATTCCTCCGACTGCCCCAGCAGTAGCGATAGCAGGACCCGATGGTGTTACAAGGACTCCTGGTAACTCCTACAGTATCCAAGATATGATGAATGACATGCGGATATTGCTGGGAGTACCGAAACGCAAGACGCCGAAACGTATGTTTGAATGAGATAATTTATTCGTAATCCACAAAGTAAAGGATTTTTTAGCCAAGAAAATAACTCGAAAGTTTTCCTATACCCGATTGTTGTGGCCTGTGAAAAACCTGGTAACCTGTCCGTCTTGTGGGCATTATCACCAAGCGGATACTATCTGCGGTCATTGTTACGAGAAGGTGATTTAGATTTTTTGACCTTTCCATGTCTTTGATAGGACCAAATATTTGGTCATACAGAAATGAACTTGTAACAATCCTTTTATATAAAAAAATTTTTTTCGATTCGATATCTGAGGTCATTTTTAGGTCCATCAGCTGACCAACGAAATAAAGCGGAAGATGATGTCATACAATCCATACAAAGGCGAAAAGCAAGACAAGGAAGTGCGAGTCCATCACAATTTTTTGCATTTTCTTTTGATTCGAACCTATCAGCGACTCTTTTCTAGGTTCACGTTAAATTTACCGACGATAAAGTAGATGATGGAGTACTGCATGGAAAACGAGTAATAGAAATGGAAAAGGAACGGCCTACCTGGTTCAAGAAACTCTTCTAGGTATAAAGTGAAGTAGGAAGACGAAATAATTGCCATTGAAGCTCTCTGCGTTCTGCACCGACTTTCTAGTATGTTAGGAACTAGTGACTCCATAATAAATTTTGAGCTTTCAGTTGTTTTGTTGTGCTATGATATAGTATATTGTAAGATAAATATGTATCGACTAAAACTTCGGCTAAATGCGATCAGTTTATCTAATATGCAGATGGTACATCGTTACTGAGTGCGGGAATCAGAAATCTTTGGGACAAAGGTGAAAAAATGCGAAGAATAAATATAATATCTGCCCCAGGACGAAGGCGGTCGCCCAAA